CAGAGCACGATGAGATACAGAGGGTGAGACAGATATGACTGTCGACAAAGAAATTCTGAGATTTCTATGTTACTCTGTCTTTAGAACCCTCGGCTGCCTTCCGACATCGAAAGTGAAAACGAAACGTTGCGAGATATAGAGCTTCCAAATGAGATGTGAGTCTTTTGAAATTCTACGCAACATTTTAGTTGAAGGCAGTTGGGAGTGAATCCCTAAGATGAGTAGGATCAATACGCCTGACGGCACTTTGCAGTTTTTTGACCGACTCATTTTTTTTGCCATTTCCCCCCCCCCCCTATACTGCACCTTGCTAGCATTTATGACCGAGTACAAATTATGATGCCACTTTAATTCATCCCAATTTGAACTGCACCAGTCCAACTCGGTCGGAAGACCCAATGAGAAACTTTCAACGGACAGTCCTAATCAGTGGCCGTCGCTGGTATTGTACTTCTGATGAGGACGATCTTTGCGAACATGGGAGACTATTAGAAGGACCTCGATATGTTTTGGGTGTACATGCGGGGAGCGTTGGAGCAACGCTAGCCTTCCTGCCGGACTCTGAGTAGATCAAAGAGACAAGCGCAACACACATTTATTAATTATCCGTGCAAATGAGAGGAAGTGCTAAGGGGCGTGGATTGGAGTGCAGCTAGCTAGAAAAGGAAATAGACACAGGTAGAAAACTACTACAAAATAGTACTGCTTTGTCGGTGGCTTTTCTCCATGATGAACGAATGGACTAACCCATTGTTTTGAATGCTCGGTGTAAAAAACGAGGCGAAAAAAATCTCTAAAATCTAATTTATTTCAAGTTAGCATTTGTATGTATTTGGGAGCTTTCACTGGTTCAGATCTGACACATTTGAAAAAACGAAAGTACTGAAGAAGAAAATCTCAAAGAAGGTACCAGAAGAAAACGGCCTCCAAGAAAGCACGAGTGGTACAGGGCATGTGTTTCTAAAACTCTTCACTAGGTGGGAGAAGCTCTTACAGAATTTAGCAAAAAGTTAGCCATTTAGAACCATGTTTGACAAGTACTGGTTACTATGTTGTGATTGGAAACGAAATCGTTCAACCGATGTCTAACGGAGGGGCAGTGAAGGTAAAGACCATTATGTTGTCTCTCAAACATTCTCCTCTCAGGAAGCTAAGCTGGAACTTCACTTCAAGTTCGCTTGAGCTTTATTCTATATATGAATATTTAATTGCTCTCACTACTTTGAGAACGGCTGCTCATGCTTTCGCGAGTAATACTGAGAATTTTTCAAGAATACTCTTAAGGTGTACAATGGCGTCGACCAGGAGACTGTGCAAAGTTCTGTAGCAGTAATCAGGTATGTTCATACTATATCTAAAAGGTGAAAAAATCTTTGCTTCCACAGCAAGCCGATCATATGCATCCAAGCTGAATCGCGGAGGAGTTTGCTCTCCAGTGAGCAAGCCACGACGCCACCAAGAAGAAGCCTGCTCGCTGTTGAAAAAAAGAAGAAAGTACCGCTACCATATTATGGACATAAAGCGGCTGGGGCACCAGTAACTCTCTCAGGGAAAATAATTACGTGCTCATCGGCGAGAGTGCGCAGAACGAAGCCAGGCAGAGGTGTAGCCCGTCGCTCTCATTTGGCGCCTGCCTGCCGGGCATACTGTCTAAGCATTGTTCAGTTTCAAAACACGAGAAGTTCAAAAGCTCAGACATGACTTGCTTTCTCTTGTGATTTCAGCAGATTTCTTCAAATTCTTTTACGTACGAGGCATGCACACCAATCGATCACAACAGTCATCTTTACAGGGCCCAGATCACGAGAGCGTAGTGTGTTCCTCGCTGAACTACTTCCCACTTACACGCAAATGCGAACTGTACAGTATACTTGCTGAGCCTCATAGGTTCTGGCAAGTCTAGGTGGAAAACGCGGGCCGTAATTTACGCGGCGGAAACAAAATCTGGGGTTGCCAGTGCAGCCTTTTATGGACCAAGGCTACTAATATGATTCAGGAGAAGTCCAGAGGTGAGTGTAGTAGAATAAATTCATCAATGAAACAAACTCACAAACTGGGAAAAATTAGAGCAGAATATTAATGCGGCGGATGCAATTGTTACAAAAGTCCTAAAAGTTCTGTATTAACGGTTGCAAATTAGAAAAAATGAAACGTTGGAATATTCAGTGGTAATCTTTTGAATCAGACCATCAGGCGATGGCTCTTGAGATAGGCCATGCACTTGTTCTTACTGTGAACCATCGAAATGATTTGATTATGCACTGAGTGTTTACATCGTCTTCTCATCCAACTGCTTAACAAGCATCAAACCATACTTGAAAACTCTTCGCAATTACTCAAGCAGATTTACGAAGGTTATTACTATATTACATTTATAATTTTAGAGTCACATGTAACTTGTCAAGATGATGAAGTCTTCATTCTACATGTACAAAAAAGTTTGTCCGGTATTCCAATCACTCAGACGTCGTCTCAAAGCATCACAAAATGCTTACAAGCATGCCTGGACGATGACAACTGCAAGGTTACTATTCACTAATTTACAACCAGTACTACTTGAACCACTTTATTACCTTTCACTATGACTATTGCTACCAGTATTGCTGCATCAATTTGCAAACTAATTGGCTTCTAGAAGCGAAATCTTCTTTCTTTAAACTCATTTGAGCTCGACAGTTTTACGAATTCTTTTCGTATTGAACAGCAATTAGGACGCAGATCCCACCTCTATCCCTCAGGCATAGTCCACGTTCACCATAGAGGCGTGGACCGTCAACTAATATTTATTCCTCTTTGATGCGCCCTCTTCTAGAGCAGTAAAGCAGCAAATAGAGAGGACAACGATTTTCTGCCATTCGTCCATGTCTTTTCCAAACCGAATAACGTGGAGTGCGTCTTTGATACGTATCGATTTTTCAGACAGGAGTATTTGATTCATCGAAACAACTCTGCCATTTGTACAAGGAGTCGGTAGCCAAATCACAAGATACAATAGTGGAAACCCCACCAGGATTCGTCATGATTGAAAATGGATGCGCTGAAAGTCGGCGCTCTTCAGCTAAAAAGCGGAAAAGTGAAATACAGCATTTCTCGGAGGTAAATATTTACAGATTTACCCTCATATGGAGTATTTAATCTCTGAGCTTCAGGAAAAGACCTCATCGGAATGGTCTGATTGTGCTTTCAGAGTCCACGGAGCACGAGTACAGGTGGGACATTCAGCTTCAATAATTATCTTTCTATTTCTTTTTATTATACTTATGCGAAGGTTTTTGAAGGTGTGCTACTTCTAAAATGGGGATAATTTTTCATATATACCGAGGAGTTGCGTGATGCGCGTGAACACCGTGCCCCCGAAAAACGCGACTCCGCAATAAACCCTCGAAAAGTTTGATGGCAGCAGAGCCGAAGAGCAGAAGTCTAGGTGCTCGTTGACTAGTTGAAACTGTCGAAAACGCTCCGAGTAGGCGAGAGACAAAGATAGCTGATCCCTGCCGCAAGGAGAATAAAGATAAGACCACGCGAGAGAGCAGATGAGTGCAAAGGAAGATAGAGACAGTACAGCAAAAGCAATGGTTGCGGGGCTCACTTCGAAAAGCAACTAGGTGCCTCAACGCACCCTATCATACAACCTTCTCCTATGCCTAAATTTGGTGCAGTTTACCTCACGTCACATCTTCTTACGAAGTGCTTGCATTCTTATGATCACGTACCATTTTTTAAAGACACGATATTTTGGTACTCGGTCTTAAAAGCTACCCAGGGTGTTACGTATACTCGGAAATGGCGCGAAAAAATTGAACCGTCAAAAACCTGCAGAGAAAGCCTCTGTTCCTACACTGATTCACGAAAGACATTCCTCGGTAAGAGTTTTCCCGCTTGTATCGTCTCGCAATAAGCGGCTGCGGTATACATGGCTGTATGTATGTACTAACCTGTATTCTTACAGTACCGCAGCCGCTTATCAACCTCTTCGCTTCATTTTGTGCTGTGCAAATTTAGCGATGTGAGCATCAGCACTGCTCGGACGTTTGTGGCGGCGGCGATGCGCGGGCAATTTTGTATTCGAGCCGTTGCCAGCTTGGTAGGACGCTATAAGCGTACCTTTCTTGCAAAAGTGACTGCTCAGGGGTGCCGATCTCTACCCTGCTGGGCGTTTCAGTCCTAAACGCCTTGGATTATCGTAGATTTCCAAGTCATGAAAACAGCAGCCCGATTAATATCACAATAAACCACTGACCCCGACAAACCATGAAGTTAACCTTGTTACTGCAATTTTCCATTTTTGGTCTTGTCGAAATTCACAGCGTCTAGACGTTTTTGAGAGTTTATTTTCAGGTTCGCGAAATCGAAGACGGTAGACTAGAGACGAGAGCGTGCTGATATAGCAACAGTACATGATAAGAAACGGATTTTTTCACGAGTCACAATTCAAATCACAAATAAAATACTAAACTGAATAAGATGTATAATTACAGTGTTTCACCCGCGTGAATATTGCTAACAACGTTTTCTGTTTTAACATAATGGTTCATGTTTCCAGTAGAAAACTATACTTTTGGATATATACTCCTCATCATTACGGACTGTCGGGGCGGGTCAGTGCGGCTGCGTTTTCCGCGGTTCCAAAGTCTTTCTGCACCAGTTGTTGAAGCGATCAAATGACATGACAGCATTATATCCTTCGCATTACTCGTTTTCTACCACTTTTTGTCGCATACGCGCTTTCAAAGAAAAGGCTGAGAACGGCTTCAAACAGTGTGCGCACTCCTTCTGGCCGATACGCCCCGACAGTCCGTAATGATAGCGGCAGTTAATCGTTAAAGGGTAAGGGGAACATTGACGTATCTGTAAGTCTGCCAAGAGCGGGCTCACGATATGTCTACAAACACTAGGAAATGTATGTACATGACAAGAGATATCCAAGAGAATCCTCGGCAAAATCCACAATGATCAGAAAGGTCAAGCTGCATTCACCACACCTTTCCCATTGATCGGTAATGTCTCAGATTTCGTTCCCTGAAAAAACGAGTATTAATGCTCCTAATATTCCTAATCATGCAATGGCGAGAAAAAAAAAGCTGAGCGAACCACGCTGGTACCTTTGATACCCTCTTCACACCTACTCTTAACCTTTTCGAGCCTTTGAACCTTTTTCGGAGAACTCGGAATGGACATCCTTGTGCCAGTTTCACGGCGGAAAGTTGAGAAGTTAAGGAGTTAAGGTGTAATGCCGCTTCGAAAGTACCTCCCTTTCCCAGTGACTCCGCCTCCAAACTCCGCCTTCCATGTCAGCCTTCGTCAAAGGGTTCATTGGAAGGAGTCAACCCACCGAGCTCGTCCCAAGTCGCGGTTTATTGACCATTCCCCATGCAATTATTTGATTCTAGAGAGGTCCTATCAAAGGCGTTTTTGACGTTCCATTGGCATTTCCTCTTCACGGACGAGTCCATTGAACTTCTCTTCACATTAGCACATTACCTACGCTCCTTGTCACAGACCGTACTTCCTTTTGAACTCCTCAGCTCTCCTCATTTATGACTCTAGACCAATAAGTGTCTTTGTTCAAAATAAAGCTGACTGTAAAATTTTGAGGGGAAGTGCGTACGTACACTGTGGATCAAGGGGCGTGTCAGCGAGCTGAGCATGGTGCGCAGCCAGCCTTTCTCGCTGCGATGTTGAAGCGCCGGTAAGGAGACAACAAAGTGCGTGGAAAGACTACTACCGAAGGCATCACTACAGTCAGTCGTGTCGGATAAAGTAAAATGTCTGACTTTATGGCCCCCCCCGCCCGCCCCCCCCCCCCCCCCCCCCCCCCCCCCCCAGCCCAAGATAAAAAAACCATCAAAAAACTTTTTTTTTTTCTAACCCATTTTTTTTTTTTTGTTCCCCCCTCTTTGACGAGCCGCATCATCCGCAGCCAACAAGGGTCGAAATCAGCTGCACTCAGTTGGAAATGAATATCACAGACTGAAAATGAATTTCTGAGTTGAAGGTTTACATTCCAATGCTTTCCCTCCAACCTGATCAATTTTTGCTACTTTCCCTTACTTACTGCCGGATTTGCATCACCATATCAATATTTTATGCGAAAGTACGGCTACCGTAAAGCTTGCACACGCGACGCTAGCATGCGAATTCCGCGGTTAAAAAAAAGCGACACAACCAAATCAAATATTTATGGACGATTTTACAAGATTTAAAAAAAGCCCACGGCGCCAACTGCTGACCGCTTCTGGAATTAGCCTCACATCCTGCTTCCTATTCAAAGTTGTAATGATATTTCGAATGCGATTTAGCCCACACACTGGCCTGCGAGTGAAGGGAAGGGCATCCCACACACAAGCCAGTGTTTTTATCCTCCCACATGAGCACAGTTCTAATAAGTAGACACTAAGTAGGTGAGGGTTTATTTGTTTGCAATATGAGCCGATCTGGGATGTGATATCAGCACCAACCTTCCCATTATACACGAAATCCGCTCAACTCTCAGGCATGTGGGCTTTTTGGGGTTTTTTAGTGTCACTGGTAAGGGTGAGATTCTTAATGAAGGCTGCTTATGCAGGTAGTATGCGCATCTGTTGTGATTTTCTAGATGTCAGTAATTCAAACCGAGTGAAGAGTTTGCCCGACGAACGATATACGGTCTTGTTCACTGTGGATGATGGGGCGTGTCAGAGGAAGGGATTAAGCGTTTCGGCCTTCTTTTCGCTCTCTCTTTCTTTCGGCAGAGGACAATACCTATCACTCCGTTCATATCCGCCGTTTTCCACCAGATGTTATTATTTAGCCGCCTCTAAAAGTGGTGGAAAACTAGTTAGCGGCACGCCAAACCTAGCCTCAGTGACACGCCTACCATCCGTTAGGATCCAAATTGCACTCAGGCAACACATTGAAAACCTTACCGATGAGAAAAATCCAGACTTTCTTGATTGAATCACCGCTTTGACAACGACATAGGCCAAGCTGGCTAGAAATAGTATCGCCAGCAATGTGTACAGTGCAGTGAGTTCATTTGGATAGGGCCTGGCTGAAAAGTTCAACAGCACTTTTTCAGATTGCACTCTTGTTTTCAATTCTGTTACCTGTACTGTCTTCGGTCAAGAGTTCGCTTTCTTTTTCCTTCGGATTGGACGGTCTCATAGTCTGAAACTAATAAAAAAAACCTGCAATTACGACACATAGGAAAGACAAGCAAGTGTGGGCGGAGTCATTTACACATGGAGATCGCGGAACGAAATGACATGAAATTTCACTAAATACACGAAATAGTGGGACATGGTTGACAAATTACACGAAAAATACGGTGATGAAGACATATTTGCTCGAAGGGGCGGAGTCACTTGAGCTGTTGCGCTTCCTCATTGATGCGCTTCGCCTCTTTCTCGTCTCTGAGGGTAGAGCACACCATTGAGCATGAGCACACTAGTCCACGTGACTCCACCACACGGCCCGGGTAAAATGCGCTTCTAACTCTTCGAAACATTTTTCAAATTGAACTTTACTCTCACCTCAGAGAAGGACGCTTTCTGAATGCGAGGTGATCAGGTCAACAGCTGCAGTAGCGTGCCACTTTCCCCGGTCAAAAGTGCACAGGAACGGTGCTACCGGCTAGCGACCAAAACGTGCCGTCGCCATGCTCCGCCCGTGCCATCCTCAAGGGGCAGCACCTGCGTTGATGCCAAGTTTCCGCAACGAAAAATACAGTCAGCGGAAGAGAACCACTAGAATTGAGAGTGCGCAGACAAGTAGCGCGTTTGTTTATGGTCAGGCTTGTGACTGGCTGTCCATGGCAACGACCAGGATATGAAAAGTGGCGAGTATACAGTTTGACTTTAATGGGATTGGAAATGCTAGGGACTACGCGGTCACCCTATCCCACGCCGACATGAGAAGCTGTGGTGCATGCGATCAATGGTTCTGAAATGAATAAACAAACTTGGACACAAACCCCTTATAAGTCCCTACCACATCCATTGCGGTTCCCATTCCCCTTTTAATTTTTATCCGATTTATGAGCCGATTCCATCGTACAGTTGAGGTTTGGTCAGATGCTGGCCTACGTAGATGACAGCAATCAAGACAAGATGGTTTTTCCAATTAAACCGTCAAATATATCCTCTGCAGGAATGGATGTTGGATAAACATTCAGAGATAGTGAGATGAAAATTTGTGATCAAAAATCTCCACTTCAGCACGTGTTCCTATCAAGATTTCTCTAACGTGAAGTACTGCAGGCTGTACTCAGGACGCCGTTGAAATGAATGAGAAACGAATTTCCACAATAGCACTACTGCTTTTATGGTGCTACCAGCGGCTACCAACGAGTGAGAGCAGATCATATGAGGACGTGGGCTACCAAGAACACTTTCATAAGAAAAGCAAAAAATACGTCAAAGAGATGAGATTAAGCTTAGAGCGGTTTAAGAGACAGATCAAAAAATTTACACAAAATTCCAGTTACGACAGAGAAGGATCATTGGAATAAACCTCTGGGGTTCTGGGGCTATACCGTTAAATTCGAGAGTGTTGTAGTCCAGAGCGCTATATAAAGCTAAAGGGATTGATCAACGACGAATGCTACCCGTTATCCTTTACTAACTTAAAGCCGTAATATACTTTGAGCAAGGAAAGCTCTGTCAATTCTGGTCCAGCACCTTGTGAACTACCGTCCAAGTGAACTACCGTCCAGGTGAAGTGTGGACCCGTGTTCGAACCCAAGTTGAGGTTTGGATATTGTCTCAATAATTCAAGGCCCTGAGGCGGAGGTGGGAAATGGTACTAAATTCGTCTGGGAGGATAAGACACTGACTTGTACATCGGCTGGCCTCCGCAAGTCATTGTATAGGCCACATCGCATTCAATAAGCCACTACGATTCTGAATGGAAGTAGAATGCGTGCCGCATCCCACAAAGGGATTGATCAACGACGAGGGCTACCCATTATCCTTCACTAACTCAAAACCCTCATGCCCTTAGAGCAAGGAAAGCTCTGTCAATTCTAGTCCAGTACCTTGTGCACTCTGTCAACTCAGCGAAATAGAACTAGCATCATAGAACGCCATTTCGCCATTTTTTTTCTGAATTTTGATTAATGATCATGACAAGCTGTCTTAGTTTTGATAACTGCTGTTTAACGCCGCAGTACGCGCTCCGAAAGTTATCACAAGAATGCTGAGATATTGGCAAAAGTCGGACCGGACGGGATTCGAACCCGCATCTTCCGCTTACCGGGCGGTTGCGTTATCCGTTACGCTACCGGCGCCAGAGAAGCCCAACAGTAGTTTACAGGGTGCTTGAAGGGCGATGACAAGGCTTACAGATTGCAGACAATGTTGTCCGGTATTCATAAGTATACAGTTTACAGGATTTATTACGTTGGCAAGCGTTGCATGCGTGCACGCCCACCTCCCCCCTCTCCTCCCCTCCCCTTCATCTCCTAAGGCTATTAGCGCCTGCTCCATACTAACCCCGTATGACAATCGCATGGTAGGGGGGCAACGGCAAAAATCAACAAGCAAATACCGTAGGAGCATGAATTGCTCTCTGACTGCTCTTATAAAGTATGCACCGGAGTTCCAGGGCATTATTCGCATTCTCACCAGATTAGCGATCTGACCAGAGTTGTCCCCTAGCTACTAAATGCTTGTTCTGACAAAATCCAAACCAATTTTCGGTATTTCTGTCAAGAAACTCCTAAACAGGCAAAATCTTAGCGGTCATACCAAATACTCCAATCACTTCAACAATTCTGAAATAAATGTTCAAGGATGAAAGGTTGAAGGGTTCTCCGTTGATCAAGTCCCTTTGTGGGATGCGGCACGCATTCTACTTCCATTCAGAATCGTAGTGGCTTATTGAATGCGATGTGGCCTATACAATGACTTGCGGTGGCCAGCCGATGTACAAGTCAGTGTTTTATCCTCCCAGACGAATCTGGTACCAATTACCGTCCCCGGAGGGTAGAAGGCTTGGTTGGCCTGGGCGGGAGTCGACCCGGGATTCGAACCCGGCGCCGCGCGAGTGGTAAGCGCGCCTACTTGCCTCTACACCGTTTCTGCTTCAAAAAATGAAAATAGATGTTTAACTAGAAGAAATTACTAATGTGCATGCATAAAATGATCACTTGGAAAGCCATCTAATGAAGCTGCAAGGTAAGGGCCACCAAATTACTGCAAATGGACTTAAAACAAATTTCGAGTCTAAGGAGGTACGCAAAGTGTTCCGGGGAACTAATATTTAGTAGAAAAGGAAAGTGTGTGCAGAAAGATTGCAAAGTGCGACACATACTTAGTAGAGTGCCGTAAAGATCTATTACTTATTGCTATGCCTGGGCAATGGAATACCGCAGCTAGTAATCTTTGCAATAATCCTGTCGAGCCGCTCAAGTCTTGAGGGAAGCTTCAGTATCAAAAAAGCTCTCATTAGTGAAGAGGTAAATGTTACAACGATACCCATTTTGCAAAGTATACAAATGTAGTAATAGCAACAACAGGAGCAGAAATTGATGACACTTCACAATAGTAAGGATAGTAATACATGATGTATAAAATGGGTGATAACAGATGATACCACACGATAGTAACATTACTACAAGAAATAATAATACAGAGAATGTAGTCATGATAACGTGTGGTGCAACGCGATAGTGGTCCCTATATATGATGGTATAATATTACGAAACAACAATGACATTATAATATGGTTTTGTACGTTGCGGGTGGTATCATTGAGGCCGGGTTTGGCGCCACGCCAGCCCCTCCACCAGTTATTGAAGCGGGTACGCGGCATCAAGTAGTAAAAAGCGACTGAGACGGACGAGATGCGAAAGCCTTGCTTACAGGAAAAAACAAGTTGGCACCAGGCTAAGCCATCTTCCTTAGACGCTCCCCTATCATGGGCAGCCAGTCAGACTGCACATACCTGAAATTCTGGACATACACACCGGACTGCCCCTTCACTATAGAGCAATCCAGAAAGGAAACTGTTGTCAATGAGCCCAATAGTAGATACAGCTGGCGAAAAGGCAAATATGGATATTGAGTTATTCAATGTACAGTTCCTAAGCTAACTTTACGTGCAAGAGTTTGAATAATAAGTTTGTTGGATTTCTGATAGGTATCTTTGTGATTGGTTGCATTTGTGTATCCATACCCAAGGCTCAAAAATTTATCGAAGTTTTGTGGACGACTTCTTATTTTTTTACTGGAACAGTTGCTGAGACAGTTAGGAAAACGTGAAGAAAATAAATTTTTCTGCGTGTATGCTGACGTTCCTTAAACTTGAAGGGTGCTCACCAGAGCTGCGTTGCTGATGAAGGCCTCGAAGAAGGCGATTATTGCCAAATCGTTAGCCTAAGAGGAAGCTATGTCGTTGGTCTCAAGGCTCTCATACACGGAATACTTGAGGATTATCTCTCATCTTCGATTTTCTTTTGCGACTATTTTTGCTAGATCGATTTCTCATGAGTTTTGCAATTTTCTGGAGGAGTTTTCCTGAATTTCGTAGATTTGTACTTATTTCGGCGACGTTTTACAGGAAATAGATACCAAAGGAGCGGGCAGAAACGATTTTTCCCCGAGGGGAGTAGGGGCGGGAGAGAAATGTGGCATTTTGAATGCTCTTTTATGCTCTTGTAAGCTATGAAACATCGCCATTTTTACTGAAAAATCATTTTTCGCGGAAACCAGTTCAGCCTTACCACAACTCCTCTACAGGCCTTCAACACCTTCGGCTGCGACACCTCGTACGCTTCGGCCCTGAATATCATCTAATTTAGTGGCAAGTGGATCCTTAAGACGTGTAGACTTAATACGCCTAACAAGATAGGATTCGCTCCACTGAGCATTCGCTCCACTGCATGGCGGCTATTCCAAGGTAGAAGCCCCCCCCCCACCTTCCACATATGTCCGACCGCTGATGCTCTTATCGCTTCATTAGCGAAGTACAGTATGAAGCGAAGGGATTGCATGAAGCGGTTACGGTGCTGTATGAATATATGAGTACATACATGCGGCCATATCTATCGTCATTGTCACGATGCTAACGGGAAACTCGTCCGAAATCGCTCTCCAAGCTGTAGAACAAAGGCTTTTTTTGGAGGTTTTTGACCTTTCATTTCGCTTTTTCGCCCATTACCCCAC